ACCTTTTAATGGATTTGCTATGTCTCACCGCCTTAATCGGAAAATCAATTCCAAAACGGTTTGCAAAATGCTTACCTGGTCTCACGGTCGATTTCGTAAACGTCTTATTTTCAAGGCTGAAGAATTGGGTAAAAAAGTGATCATCCAAAATGAAGCTTACACAAGCAAAACCTGCAGGTAATCTAGCTGCATATCATTCTTTCTTCCCTATCTTTTTTATTACCTCTAATGCCATTGTTTTTATTCAGTTGCTGTGGATTTATCAAATACAACTTGGGTGAAAGCAAGGTGTTCAGGTGTAATGAATGTAGAGTCGTGATTGATAGAGATTTTAATGGCGCTCGGGGAATTTTTCTCCGGGCTTTGCTTGATGAGGCTGTTTGTATATAATGAACTCACTATATATACGTACACACTGATTATTTTATATACAGTATAATAGTAATTAACTATAGTTGACTATTTATGTATATTAATGATCGATTCAATTCATCCGATCTTATACGTATTTGATCGAACACAATAAAACCCGATCATCATCTCTATATTATAATTTATATACCACTTACAGACTTATCCTTTTTTATCTATACAGTATTGCAAAAGAAGACATAAATATTAGATGCACTAAATTTTTTGAGTTAGATTAAATACTGAAATAAAGAACTTTATAGTTTTCTGAGGTTCTAGATTTTTCTTACTTAAAGCATCAAAACAATATAGATTTAATCACACGTTTTGACTATTAGCTAAAAATTTACATCAAAGAAAAATTATACAGTATTTATCTAAAATTTAAGAAAGCATTTAACCTTTAATGCTTCACAAGAAGGCAATCAAAAAAAAAAATTTAACTGTAAATCTGAAAAAAAAAAAAAAAAAATTCATCAAATTAACATTTTTACGGTTTATATTTTTAATATTGCTTAAATAAGAAAACAAGATGTATTAAAAGTTATACAGTATAAATTTTTTTTTGGATGACTATAAGTGACGTGAACTATAATAGTTACCATTGATAATTTAGTAAAACTCATATTGATGTACAATCTAGGATTAAAAAAAAACAGATGTACAACACAACATTTTTATATCGTTTAACGTTAACCATCAATATAAAAAGAAATCACGGAATAAAAATTTAAATTTTGTACAACTATTTTACAAATTTAATAGTTACGATATAATATATTACATATAATTTTATTCCCTATACAAAAAAAATAAGCTAAAATATAATTATTATTGAATATTGTATACAACATAAATCACTTTTCAATATTTTGTAAACAATGTTTTGTTCATTTTTCATTAAAGTGAGTTGAAATAATAATAAATAATAGAAAAAAAAATTCTAATAAAGGATAATAACAAAGTTTGTTTGTATAATTAAAACTTATTTATATTAAAAGTTACGGGATCGAATAATAGACAACTTCACACAAAGATTGGTAAAGATTTTTCGTCTATATGCGACCCAAACAAGAAAAAAAAACCTGCAAAAAATTGTAATGGAGTTTTACTAAATAAGTGAAATTCTTGTCAAATAAAAAGATAATGAGGACAAATTTAACTTGATATAATATATTATCGACCTTTTCTTTTGAATCTTTTAAAAATACTTTATACTAATAGATGTTACAAAAATTAGTATGTACATACTAAATAAAAAAAAAAAAAAAAAAAAGGCATAAATAGAGAAGCCGTGAGAGAATAAAAAAGATTAGTCAAAAGATGTAAATATGGCAAATTAAGATTGGGTCCATTTTTTCGAATTAAATAAACTTAATGCAGTCAAAAGTTCAATTAATATTTAGCAGAACTTCAAATTAAGTGATGAAGTTTGTAATATTATTAAGCCCAGACCTATAAATGAAAAAGGAAAATGAATTTAGTAAATAATCAATGCATATTATAATAAAAGTGAAACACGTCATGTACATGTAAATATAATAATAACCTTTAATAATGAATCCCAACTGCCTGTGCATAAAGCCATACCATCGCTTGATACTCCCAAGCAACTAACACGATTCTCGTGTGATGCTAACACACCAACACGTTCACCCTTCAATGTATCCCAAACATTACAGTTGAAATCATCGTAACCTGCAAAAAGGAGACGGCCAGAAATAGAAAATGCAACAGAAGTAATACCGCAAAGGATATTATCATGTGTGTATTGGTTAAGTTCTCTATCAGCACGAAGATCGAATAATCTACAAGATGCATCATCAGAACCAGTTCCAAAAGCATCACCATTTGGGAAGAATCTAAATATAATATAGATTAAAAAACATAATGAATTTGATAACTATTATATAAATACAAAATAATACAGAAGAGTTATAACGACTTACTGAACAGCATTGATGTCTGATTCGTGACCTGTAAATGTTTGTACACAACGACCAGTTCTGATATCCCAGACTTTTGCACTAGCATCACAAGCACCAGAAACAAATATTTGTTGGTTTGGAGCAAGAGATAGACTACATATAATAATCACAAAGTTATTAATAAATCTTACATAATAAAATTATTCTAAAACTTTATCAATAATAAGATACCTCATTACGTCACCAGTATGATCATTAAATTCTAGAGTTTTCATGCCAGCATCAATATCCCAAAGCATACAAGTCATGTCACCTGATGATGTCAAAATTCGTCTATCATCAAGAAATCTACAGCATGAGAGGTAACCTGTATGAGAATTCAATTCTCGTGCAACCTTAACGGAACCTTCTTTCGTTTTAAGATTATAGATAGAGCAAATATTGTCCAAACCACCACAAGCAACATAGTTACCGGATGGTGCGTATGCACAGGTCATAACCCATGAGGATCTAAGGGGAATAGCATGTACTTTATTTGTTGTAGGTGCATCCCAGACGATAAGTTTACCATCTTGTGAAGCAGAAACAAGGTGACGTTTATCTGATGCCCAATGCATTGCATAAATCTTGGCAAGATGTCCTTTAAGGACACGACGAACTTTCATTACAATTCTAGGTAGAGGGTCAATTTCAGCTGCCATTGCTCTCACTGTTAAAATCACCATAATTGTTATAAATATAAGGAAGAAATATTAAATTAATGCTCAACCAGAATATTCGAAATATTGACTAATATAAAGTAATTAAATCCAAGATAATTTAATTGATTATTTAAATTTCTTAATCAGACATCATTCAGTTTTATTAAAAATCGAAAAAGTAAAATTATTTTTAATAAACTGATAACGCACGTCAAGCATTACAATAGCTACCAAGCCCGACCTCAGGAACTTACAAGAGGTGTCTGCTAATGCATCTTTTTTCGCTTTAATCTTCTCTTTCAAGGTTTCTGCTTCCTTGCGGGCTTCAGCTATTCTACTTGCGATGTCGGCCATTTTGTATTCTCAATTTCAAGGAAGGGATTAAGGGTTGGAAATCGTCACTTTTCGGGATGATGTCAAAAGGGAGAGAAAATAGTTTTTTTTTGTCTTTTTTTTTTTTTTTTATTTCCCTCGCTTAAGTAACGTGGTTTAGGAAATGGAAAAAAGGGTGTTGGTAAAGAGGAGAAAGAAGGAAAGGCCACAGAAAAATTATAGAAGTGGGCCCAATTCTGGATAATAATAAGTAATACGAGGCACAACGGTTCAGTTGAGGAATGTAACACAAATGCTCGCTAGAGAATTGTAGGACAAATTATTCTAAGTTGGACCAACATTCCTCGTCGATCCATTGGTTAATTGGTTTTCAAAACTTTAGCGTTAAAAGTGGAAAACATGACCTACAAAAATAGAAAATTGTAAATAAAATAAAAACGCCGAACCAATAATAACAGTGAAAAATACTGCGGTGAGATAATATTAATTCATTACCCTTGTTCCAATAGCATGGAGGTCACAAACTGAAATGGAAAACTCTGTTCAGGAAAAAATGGACAGTTCAAGTTCCACTATTGAATTCAAAGTTCCAGCACCTGTAAACAGTAAATATAACATGCTTTTTTAATTCATATTTTTCATTATTGTATAATGAACATTCTTTCATGGTTTGTTACTGCATTAACTAGCAAAACCACCAGAGTCGATACCTCCAGTTCCTTATGAAAAACCCGATTGGAGTGATATATCAAAAATTGATTATGGTTTTGAGGTTATAAAGGGTGGGCTTAGCGTGGAAACAATAGATCTTTCATCTAAAGAATTTTTGGTTCTTGGTGTGTGAAATCCGTTCAAAATTGTATTGAAACCATTTGGATCAATTATCATTATGTCCCTAACAGCCGAAATTCTAATCTTCAGGACGATTGCCGGTGTGTGATTTATCAATGGAACATCCTGTATCCTAATAACTTGATCGCGAAAGATTTAAGATTCAGCGTCGCACATCCGATCCTTGACAATTTACGATATGATCTCTTTTATAGTCAATTTCTAGATATCATGCTATAATTCAATTTAATAATAAAGGTGTGGACCAATTCTTTAAAAAAAATAATATATATATATATTCCTTTAATCTTTAATTGTAACTATAATTATTACAATTTGTTTATTATTTTCAAAAAAAGGCGATATTTTTATATACGACTTAGATAGTGCACATGGAACTAGAGTAAACAAACAACGAATATCATCACGGAATTATATTCGACTTCGTGTTGGTGATCAGATAAAGTTTGGCGAAAGTACACGAACATATGTTTTGTTGGGTCCAGAAGAAGAACAGACACAACAGACGATTAAACCTCCACCAAAGCCAACACTTGAAACTACAGGCGTTACTTGGTACATCAAGATGAATTCTTTCTTACTAGTTCTATAACAATTGTGATAGTCATGTAAATAATTATTTACAATGTGCTTAGGGGTTTTGCAGAAGACGCCGATGATGAAGGCGAGCCTTTGGTAGCTGTAGCAAAAGAATCTTGGAAACGCGACGAAAATGCTTATTATTATAAAGATCCAAAAAAAGCATTAAGAAATTGGCTTGAGGTTGGTGTTAATTAATCATAAGGTTGTATTTTTGAATAATCACTGATTGTAATTTCAAAAAGAATCGGGGTTATGATATGGAGTTTGAAAGTGAACAAGAAGGGCCAGGTCATGCACGAACTTTTACTTCTCGGTATCTATATTTTAGTAAATAAATATTTTTTTAAGGGCTATTCAAATTTTGTTAATTCTTTGTATTTCTTAGCATTCAATTGCCTGATGTTGAAGATGCATATGGTCCTGTTTATGGTATAGGAACTGGATCAAAGAAACGGTTTGTTTCACCTCATTAATTATAAGATTGATATATTTATTATACCAATAGCGTTAATATTTTTAAACTTACAACGATCTTTTTGTCATCTTTATAGAGATGCAGATAGGCAAGCAGCAATTGATGCTTGTGAAAAATTGGATATGTTAGGCCTTTTGCGCGGAGGGCAAGAAGAAGCTGGTAGGAATAATATTATTTAAAAATTAATTTAAGAGTTAATGTATATAAGCGCCAGTTTTTCATACCAATTTTTTTATGGAACATTTTTTAGCGGCAAGGAAAAAAAAGACTTCAGCATTTGTTAGATGTTGAAGATGACGATGACGATAGCTTTTATGATCGAACTGGTCAAAGTAAAAAAAATTTTATCATTATTATATAAAAATGCCATTTATGAGGTTTTTTTTTTTTTTTTTTGTTTTAAATAAAATTTAACATCTGCTTTTTTCACTATAAAAGAAGACAGATTAAAATCAAAAAAACCTCAGATGCAAAAAGTTGAGACCTATGAATCTTTAATAAAACAACGAGAAGAGCTCATGATTAATATTGAAGAAATACGAAATAAGATACATAAGGCTGCTGAATCTGGTATATATATTTTATCTTGCTATATAACTACTTTGTAAAATAGCAATATAAGCCTTTTATTTATTTATTAAATTTATCTTATTTTATTTATTTATTTTTTTTTTTGTATGTAGAAACATCAAAAACCATAACTCTTACCGATGATGATTTGGATAGTTACATGGATATAATTAGAAACGAAATTAAAGATGAATCTACTGCTAATTTAGAGACAAAACTACAAGACTTGTTAAAGGTAATTTTATTCTCTCTTATGGTAGGGCCTAATCTTTTATTGTTGTATTAAAATCTTCTTTCATTACATTGAAGCAAGAACAACGTCTTGCCCGACTTATCGAAATTACAAAACCTCCCGATATTATGCAACATGATAATAGTTCATCAGCTGTAAAAAATTTACAGCCTATCAAGTGTGTCTAATTTCAATAGTGATTTTTTTCCTTAGCGTAAAGATTTTATTACTAATTAATTATCACAAAATTAGTAGCGATGAACAAGAATTATCAAATGTTAAAGAAAATTTGGTAAGTATCTTTGTTAGTGATAAAGTATTATTTCAGATTTATTAAATTTAAGCATGTTTATCTACATAAATAGGAATCCGTACAGACAAAAAGTATCGAAATATCACCAATAATAGATTCAGAAATACAAGAACCAACAGTCTCCCCACAATTAATAGAGTCAACTGACCCTGAAAAATCAGATGAAGGAGTGACGTCGATGATTCCTAAGAAAAGAGAAATTTCCCAAGAAGATTTGGCTATTGATAGTGAAAAAGGAAAAAAAATTAAAGCGTTGATACCAATGACACCACATGAATATGAAGAACAACAAAGAAAGGCTCAAGAATTGAATGAGCTCGAAATTGAAGATGTAACAATTTGGGAACCACCTCAGGGACAAACAGGTAAGAAAAAAAAACTATCTAAATTTTATGTAATATTTATCGGTGTTATATTATTTATTCATTAATTTATTGTACTTTATAAAATAATTTTAGGCGATGGTCGAACATCATTAAATGACAAATACGGTTATTGACAATTAATAGGAAAAAGCATGCTATATTGACTGGTTACGAAAATTTTAACCTAATTTAATCTTAGCAGAAATGGTTTATTGTTACTCTTTTTATTAGAATATATTTCGTACAATCGATTGAAGATTGTAAAATTAAAAATTCTAAATAAAACATAATCACAAATAGTTTTCAAAAGATTCATTTAAAGTATTAAAATTTTATTTTTATAAATCACAATTATATTATAGTCACTGATAGAATACTATATGCAGTTATATAGTGTATAACCAGATATATAGGCTGCCGTCAATAGAAATACATTTTAATACCTTAACTTTCATAGCTCATATCTTTGATGAATTTTAAGCCTATCTTAATGATTTATTAGTCAAAAAAAAAAAGCTTACTATATAAGCTTTCTTTTGAATATTTAAATCATCAAGATAGCTTAAAATTCATTGAGATACGAGCTATGAAAATTAAGGTATGATATTAATTTTTTTTAAAATGTCAATCCGCCTTATTTTTATTGACAGCAGCCCATATATACGTATATATTAGAAAAATTATTTTTTTATTTTTTTTACGTATAAACTGGGAGTCTAATCAGTACTTACGTCGTACGTACATTTTTCTTGATAAAAAAAATTTTTGTCATTGGCAAATACCGTTGTTACATATAAAATTGACCCTGACCCGACTGGGCCCTGCAAGCATGTGATCGGTGACTACGCCCTAATCGGCGAAACTAAAGTCACAAGTTACATATCAACAGCTTGAAGAAACGCTTGATTTAGTCCAAAAAATTTTGCTTTTCGCGTAACCCGAGCTTCCGGACCAAATTGATTTTGGCCGAAATAAACAAATTTTACTAATAGATATATTATGTAAAGTTGCTCGGCTTGTAATTTTGCTACAATATCAGTTAGCAGTATCAAACTTATATTAATGTTTCGCAGATGCGATCCGAGGGTTGAACCCGAATCGTCGGATCGAGTTCCAGAAGCTCGGGTTACACGAAAAAGCAAAATTTTTTGGACATCACTAACTTTATTATGCTTAATTATTGTGGTGTATAGCTCTGCAGTCTTGAACTTCCAAACCGCATGATCATCGATGATTAAAGATTGATTACCTCACAAAAATTTATATTGTTGCCCTGTATATATTATTATACACCAAGTACCCTAGAGGCACTGACAGAAATTTACTAATTTGCAATTTAGAACATTTTGATTAGCCAATCAAAATTTGGTTATTTTTAATTTTAATTGTTTTTTTAAAATCCTAGTAATGTTTTTCTACTAACTACTCAATTAAACTTAATAAAATAATTTTATTTTAGTTCTATACATTCATAAAAATAAAATAAAAAAATTTCATTGAATTAAAATACAGTCAGATCTCTCTAAATACACATTGTCAGAACCATCTCTAAAGCATGCATTTAGAAAGGGCTGCAATTAGAGAACACTAATAAAATCGCAATGTTACTGTTAGCACGTGATAATGTGGCTTTAGTAGTCTTGAAATAATAAATTTGATTGACTGGTAATCTTGTGAATATATTTATAGTAAGAGTTTTTATAAGTGGGCCAGACAGTTAGTGTGTACTTACAGAATAAAGAATATGTATTTATCTTTAAGTCCCACCATGGGCCTGGGCTTAATAATGCATTAAGAGGGGTACTGTATTTAGAAAGAGTGTATTTAGAGAGGTCTGACTGTAGTTGGCTATTAAAAAATCTTTGCTAAAAGTTTAAAAAAAATATAAAAAATTTTTGAAAAAAAAACCAAAATTGAATAAATTTTTTTTTTTTATACTTTAAATAATAATTTTTTGACAATTAACTATTTGAATTTGGTGAAACTTTTTTTATTTTAATTTTGTAGCTTTATAAAATTAAAATAAAAAAAAAATTTTTAAATCTACACTAGTATATAAATATAGGTATTATTTAATTGATTTACAAATCTATATAATATATAAATTTCATATAAAAAAAAACTACTTAATATTAGAGTTAGAGTTAGAGTTAAAGGTTAAAGTTAAAAAGTATTTTATACTAAAATTTTGTATAGATTATTTTTTATTTTTTTTTTTGGTTATTAAAGTAAAGTCTTGCTTATATCTTTATTGATTAATTTATATAAATAATTACATAAAAACTATATAAAAACTTAATTTATACAAAAACAAATAAATATAAATTATATAAAAAAATAAACTCTTTTTGATGATTTCTCATACCAAAATTTTAGTAAAAAATCTAACTCAAAAATAGTAAACTAGAGTGCAAAATATGAATAGAGATATACGTAACCATAAAGAGCCTAGTATTTGTAATTTAGAGATAGTTTTTATATACTATCTGCTGACAGGCTTAGAGTTTATCACTTACTAGTTGTGACAGCATTTGTCGTTTAGAAGTGTTCTCATATACTACTTGCCAACAGGTTCAGAGTTTATCACTCACCAACAAGAGAGAGTTGCCTCTAGGCTAAAAGCCTCTAATACACTGCTTTTTATAATGTTTTTTCTTGCTACAAAAATTTTTGTCAAGTATATAAAGTCTTACAACACTACTATCCACTTTTCTTAACAACAAAAAAAATTCAAAAAAAGTAAACAAAACAGCTTACTTTCTACAAAAGATCAGCAGTGTTTATATTTTTCAAATTTGGATAACACAGTAGATAACAACTACATTTTTGGTCTAATTGAGAATAAAGCTACTGTTTTGGATCAGTTCCAGTCAAGGTATCTCTAGTTTCAATAGCAGGTAGCTTGAGATATGGGTTCTCAGATGGTGGTAGCATCTGGCTTGAGATATGGACTTAGAAGTAGATTAGTGAAAAACTTCTGAACTTGATTATTTAGTTGAAAAAATTAAAGTTAAAGTAAAGCTTTACAATATAGATATATAAATATTGTCTTTCAAGTAGTATATAATTTTTTAAGCTTTAACACAGGCAATAATAGTGCTACTTACTCTGTCTACTACCTTTTTTATATCTTTTTCATCTTGTTTAGTTATATTTAAATAATATTTAAGAGTTTGTTTTTTTTTTTCTTCTTTTCTTTTTAAATTGTTTTGTAGTTTTTCATTTATAATATAGCTTTAGTTTTCTGTTCTTAGATAAAAATAATGGTTTAAGCTTTTGCTCAGTTTTAGGTAAAAATGATCTTTAAAGAAGGAAAAAGTAATAAAATCTTAGTGATATAGTTCGTAGCTATTTTCTGTTTGGCTCTTGATAGAGCTGATAAGTCTTCCATCTCTATGCATAGGGCTATACAACAGGTCATATTTAGGTACTTGAGAAGCAACCAGATGATACCATATCTGATTATTTTAGTTTAGATGTATATACATATGATTATCATATGTAAATTAAGTTGTCTAATTAATAAAGATAATGACAAGACCGTTAAAGAGTTAAAAAAAATATATATAAAAATATATAAATTATATACAAGAATAAAAGCTTAAACTAAAAGCTCAAACTAAAAGCTTATTTGGCAATCCACGAGTTATCTAAAGAGTGATCATAGTGAAACATGATGCAGATCACTTATAAAAATTAGAGATTTGTGAATATAGCATACGCATATAAAAAAAAGTTTTAGATATGCACACACTATATTCACAAATTTCTAATTTTTATAAGTGATCTGTATCATGTTTTACTATAACCACTCTTTAGATGACTCGTGAATTGCCAATTAAACTAATTATTTGTAATTTAAACCTACTAAAGTAGTTAAAACTTATTTAGATTTGAATAGTTAAAATGTTATTAATAAATATACTATATCTAATTCACTTAGTAGACTAAATATCAAGTTTGCAAGCACTTGTTCTAGAAGAGAACAAGTATTAGGTTTAAAATGTAGTTGGTTAGCAAAGCTACAAAAGCAGTTATAGATATATTTAGTTTTGTTTCTTTTATTTGTAAAAGTTAAAAGCAAATAGGTATTGTATTAGTATTAGGTTAAAAAGAAATTTGATATGTTTTTTTCTAATAAAAAAAGTTAGTATAGTAGAAAATCTATATTTGATGATATAGTTGGTTAGAGATTTTAAGAAGTATTTATATAATAAATTGAGAGATATTTAAATAAGAGATATCAAAAAGATCAAGAGTTTAAATCGAGAATATTGGTATATACTTTTAAGTATAAAATAGAAAGAGTAGAGATAAAAAGAGAATTAAAGAAAGGATGTGAAGAAATAGTATATATAAGATTGTGTTGTTGATATATAGAAAAATTAAAGTTGAAGTTAGAGATAATGTCAGATATTAAGAAATAAATAGTTTGAGTTAGAAGAGTACTATTAAGGCAAATATACTAATGAAAGAGAGTATCTAAGCAGTTGTAGAAAAAGCAATTATACAATGTAAAAATGAGAAAATAAATAGAGTAAAAGTATGTATGTGTTGGTAAAATATTAAAAAGTATTTTGATTTTGAAAGATTTTAGATAATTTAGTTTGAGGTTAGTGAAATTGTATTAGATTTTTTAATTGTTATTAAAATATAATCAGAAAGCTTTCTAGTCGATCAAGTAGAAGAAATATAACTATTCTTGAGCATGTTGTTGTAAGGACTATAGAGTAGTAGTGTATACTTTGCAGATTGTTTTAATGAATTATTTGGTGGGCTTTTAATAAAGTATTCTTTCTATAATAAAGTAAAGTATAAATTATAAATATTGGTATGATTGAAATATAATATC